TAATCCATTCAGTGCTCTCACTCTCAGAGCCTGCAGACTGAGATCTCACACACACACACACACACACACACACACACACACACACACACACAGGCTTATCTCTCAGACTCTAGAGGACGAACTGTAATCAGTCTAATCCCACACTAACTGACCAAATGTCTCAGCCGTCACAGATAGTGTCCATACAGAGGTAATCTGAGAAAACACTCTTAAAGGGATAGTTCACCCAACAATGAATATTACCCCATGATTTACTCTCCCTGAAGTCATCATCGGTGCAGACGGCCTACGCAAGTCTACCTATGCTAAAAGAGTAACACTTGACGATGTATGAGTACCATAAGCTCTTGCGGTTCAAACTAACAGCGCTGGGTGACAAACTCAAGCTCCTCCCACATTGTCGTTTTAGACTTCTAATTCGTGACTGGTGTTTTGTTTTGCTCTATCCATTCATCAGTACATCATGCATCAGGACAAATCGATGTAAATCGATGCGTACGGCCGTCTGCTGGAAGCTAGTTATTTTAGCCGATAAAGTTTTAAATATGGATATTTTTCTTACACGAACACATGGCTTCACATCAGAAGGCCTTTATTAACCCCCGCAGAGCCGTGAGGAGCACTTTAATGATGGACAGATGCACTTTTATGATGGATAGATGCACTTTAATGATGGACAGATGCACTTTAATGATGGACAGATGCACTTTTATGATGGATAGATGCACTTTTATGATGGACAGATGCACTTTAATGATGGGCAGATGCACTTTTATGATGGATAGATGCACTTTTATCATGGATAGATGCACTTTTATGATAGACAGATGCACTTTTATGATGGACAGATGCACTTTAATGATGGACAGATGCACTTTTATGATGGATAGATGCACTTTTATGATAGACAGATGCCCTTTTATGATGGACAGATGCACTTTAATGATGGACAGATGCACTTTTATGATGGATAGATGCACTTTAATGATGGACAGATGCACTTTTATGATGGATAGATGCACTTTAATGATGGGCAGATGCACTTTTATGATGGATAGATGCACTTTTATCATGGATAGATGCACTTTTATGATAGACAGATGCACTTTTATGATGGACAGATGCACTTTAATGATGGACAGATGCACTTTTATGATGGATAGATGCACTTTTATGATAGACAGATGCCCTTTTATGATGGACAGATGCACTTTAATGATGGACAGATGCACTTTTATGATGGATAGATGCACTTTAATGATGGACAGATGCACTTTTATGATGGATAGATGCACTTTAATGATGGACAGATGCACTTTAATGATGGACAGATGCACTTTTATGATGGATAGATGCACTTTTATGATGGATAGATGCACTTTAATGATGGATAGATGCACTTTAATGATGGACAGATGCACTTTTATGATGGACAGATGCACTTTTATGATGGATAGATGCACTTTTATGATGGACAGATGCACTTATGATGGACAGATGCACTTTTATGATGGACAGATGCCCTTTTATGATGGACAGATGCACTTTTATGATGGACAGATGCCCTTTTATGATGGACAGATGCACTTTTATGATGGACAGATGCCCTTTTATGATGGACAGATGCACTTTTATGATGGACAGATGCACTTTTATGATGGACAGATGCACTTTAATGATGGATAGCCTAGATGCACTTTTATGATGGATAGATGCACTTTTATGATGGATAGATGCACTTTAATGATGGATAAATGCGCTTTAATGATGGACAGATGCACTTTTATGATGGACAGATGCACTTTTATGATGGATAGATGCACTTTTATGATGGACAGATGCACTTATGATGGATAGATGCACTTTTATGATGGACAGATGCACTTTTATGATGGACAGATGCCCTTTTATGATGGACAGATGCACTTTTATGATGGACAGATGCACTTTTATGATGGACAGATGCACTTTTATGATGGACAGATGCACTTTAATGATGGATAGCCTAGATGCACTTTTATGATGGATAGATGCCCTTTTATGATGGATAGATGCCCTTTTATGATGGACAGATGCCCTTTTATGATGGACAGATGCCCTTTTATGATGGACAGATGCACTTTTATGATGGACAGATGCACTTTTATGATGGACAGATGCCCTTTTATGATGGACAGATGCCCTTTTATGATGGACAGATGCACTTTTATGATGGACAGATGCACTTTTATGATGGATAGATGCCCTTTTATGATGGACAGATGCCCTTTTATGATGGACAGATGCACTTTTATGATGGACAGATGTACTTTTATGATGAATAGATGCACTTTTATGATGGACAGATGCACTTTTATGATGAATAGATGCACTTTTTATGATGCATAGATGCACTTTTATGATGCATAGATGCACTTTTATGATGGATAGATGCACTTTTATGATGGATAGATGCACTTTTATGATGGATAGATGCACTTTTATGATGAATAGATGCAGTTTTATGATGGACAGATGCAGTTTTATGATGAATAGATGCACTTTTATGATGCATAGATGCACTTTTATCATGGATAGATGCACTTTTATGATGCATAGATGCTCTTTTATCATGGATAGATGCACTTTTATGATGCATAGATGCACTTTTATCATGGATAGATGCACTTTTATGATGGATAGATGCACTTTTATGATGCATAGATGCACTTTTATGATGGATAGATGCACTTTTATGATGGATAGATGCACTTTTATGATGGATAGATGCCCTTTTATGATGGGCAGATGCACTTTTATGATGGATAGATGCACTTTTATGAACTTCAAAACACTAACCGGCAATTAACCCGGCAATTAACCCAGCAATTCACTGGCATTATAAAGCTTGGAAGAGCCAGGATATTTTTTAATATAACTCTGATTGTATTCGTCTGAAAGAAGAGTGTCATATACACCTAGGATGGCTTCAGGGTGAGTAAAGGGCCAGTTAAACTGGTGAAAATCCAGCTTTTAATGCTGTTTATATGTCTGTGGTATTTTTAATATCTTTTAAGACAAACCATGTGTAAGTTCATAAGTCGACAGCATTGCTGAGTATTTCCTCCTTAAAACTGCAGTGAACCAAAGACAGTCTCAAAAACACGGTTTGAAATCGCTGGTGTTTCTGACGTCACAAACGACCTTGTAACCAATCAGATCAACGTGTGATCGTCAACCAGTGGATCTCTGAGCTGAGGGAGTGAGTGGAGGCGGGGCTCATTTGCATATTCATAGAACCACCGCGCATACTAAATGAGGCAAGGGTGTCGAGTTACATTCAAGATATTTTAAGGCTATTTTAAGGAAAAAACATTTAAATATGTCATTTTGGTGATCAAAGATGAGTTTAAGGGATACAATGATTGACTACAGCCTGATTTTCTAAGCATCACTATTACTATTGTTCATACTTGAGATTTTGATTGAGATTTCTGCTTTTTTTTTCTTATTGTGTCCCTGAAAGCATCCTCACATAACCTCTCACATGCCGCTCTCGCCCGAGGGTGCTGTCTTTCCCCGGCCTGTGTCTAATCGAGTTCATCACGCTGTCTGATCCGGAGCGCAGGGAATCGTCTGCCAGCATGTGAAAGGGCTCATGCTGAGGAGGACATGTGTTATTAGCACAACCGTACCTGCGCTGACAGCAAATCAAGCTTAGCGCACTCAGATTAAGGGTTTTTCAGCCTGCGGGACGTTCTGACCCCTATTTAAAACACTGAATGTATTCGAGCCGGAGTAAAGTCAGATATGGATTAGATTTTAGATGAGAGTTTATTAGATTTAGATACTGCTCATCCGAATCCCATCATGCTCTAGTGTTTATTCTGGTTGCAGGCATGTCCCGAACACAAGCTGGCCGTCGCTGGAACAAGAGAGCGCTCATTGTTCTAAATGTGCTGAAGTTAAAATCACATGGTTGTACAAACATTTTTAGAAATGTCATTTGGTCAGCTCTTTGCCTTGTTGTTTGAGGGGTAAAGCAGCTCCTCTGGGTTTAAAATATCCTATTGGAAGACGGACACACACACACTCATATCCAACTCTGGCGTGGAACATGATGATTACTTCTGATCTCCCTTTTGCTGCCAATTTAATTCAGGCTAAACATAATACTGAGAACTGAGAAGCTTGCATATGCAGAGGCAGAAACAGGAGGTGCAATTTTTATTCATTTATTTATTTTTAAGGATGCACTAAAGGTCAATTTACGTTTTAATGTACCCTCATTGATTTTGCTTTCTTCTGTTGAACCGAAAAATATGTATATTTTGAAGATTTGTTTTCCATGCAACAGTTCATGGTGACGACAGCTTTATCTCCAAAACATATAATTTTTTTTAAAACACCATAAAATTATGATTGAAGTCTGTTTTGCTCAACAAAGCTGCAATTATTCCAGTGTAAATCATAACTTTTCTATGTGAATATACAGTAAAGTGTAATTTATTCCTGTGATCAAAGCTGAATTTTCAGCATCATTACTCCAGTCTTCAGTGTCACATGATCCTTCAGAAATCACTCTAATATGAGGATCTGATGATCAAGAAACATTTATGATTATTATCAGTGTTGAAACAGTTGTTGGTCTGTCAGTTGTACAGTTTTTTAGGATTCTTTGATGAATAGGAAGTTCAAAAGAACAGCATTTGTTTGAAATAAAATCTTTTGTAACATTATAAATGTCTTTACTGTCCTTGATAAATAAAAGTATTGATTTCTTTCCTCCAAAAAATAAAAATAAAATTCTCACTGACCGCAACTTTTGAACGGTAGTGTAGTTCTGACACTAAAACTATTTTTTCTCACACAGTAATTTTTATTTTGGCTGAACTATCCAACGATACACATTGATGCATTTTTGTATTGTGATATATTCCTACACGATATATTGTTACATCCCTAATGTGTGTGTGTGTGTGTGTGTGTGTGTGTGTGTGTGTGTGTGTGTGTGTGCGCAGCGCTGCAGGAGGGGAGATCTTTAACCAGTGTGTGGCGGACCGAGACGAGGCGTTTAAAGAGGACGATGTGAAGAGGCTGATGAGGCAGATTCTGGAAGGAGTGGCTTTTCTTCACAGGAGAAACGTCGTGCATCTGGACCTCAAAGTGAGTGAAGATCAAGAGCAACGGCAAAAGTTTTAATATTTAGCAAACTCACCATCTGGTGCTCTTCGGACAAATTTCCCATTTGTTTAGTTTTTTTGTGAATTTCTTTCTTCATCGGAATGGTACGAAACTTGGTAAAGGTTTTGGCACTTGCTTTGTGAACACACACACACACACACACACACACAATGGACATGATTCGAACAGGTTGACCGGTCCTGAATAAAACAGTCACACTTGTGCTTCTCGGCGTCAGAAACGAGCGCACTGGAAATGAATGTGAGAGTTTCCTCTAGTGGAAGCGTGTGGAACTGCAGCCGATCAACATCTCACTGAACGCTCCTTTACTGAGAGATCAGCCTCAAACACAACAAATCAACCTTTTGAACACAACTTGTTTAGATTTATGGCTTTGATTTTCTTGCAGTTTTAGAGAAAAACATGTTTTTTAAAAATATACATTTCATATAAAAATTGAAAATAGTATTTTTGCTCATTTTTCATAACAATAAAAGTTAAATTCTGTAAGTTTAAGTTCACTTTTTACACTTTTTTCACTTCAGCAATAATCTGCCAAGTGTCGACTTTAAAAAAAGATCAAAATTACTCTAAAGCATTCAAGATTTACCTCAGTTTAAGTTGGAAATTTACTCTCAAAAAGTGAATAAATGGATTATAAATATAATCCAGTACCATGAAATCCCCAAAAAATACAAAATATTAAATAAAAAGCGTCCCGTTTAGCTTAAGAGCTCCAGAGAGTGTCAGGGTTGTGTTTGATGAAGTGGACATTTCTGTGGTCTGAATACATATGCTTTATTCACCAGAGCTACAAGTGTGTAATTACACCAGGGCTAAAAGTGTATAATTATACCTCCATTATAACTATGTGCCGTCGGTGTACTGTGCTGCTGGGCAGTGTCACTACAGGAGTGTTTTCCTCCACAGCCTCAGAATATCCTCCTCACCAGCGAGTCTCCGCTCGGACACATAAAGGTGGTGGACTTCGGGCTGTCGAGGCTGGTGAGCAGCGGACACGAGATCAGGGAGATCATGGGAACACCGGAGTATGTAGGTAATGTCACCAATCATGGGCCGTCACACTGGACACACACTACACTCTTACAAATGAAGGGTGTTTTCACAGCGTTGGCGTTGAAGAACCATTTTGGGTTCCTATTCTGCTCTTTCCATCTGTGTTTAGTGTGTAGTGTTGCTGTTTGAGCATTAAAAAGCTCCAGTTCTTCTCTATATGAGTGTTCCTGAACTCCTGAAACGCCTCCATTGTAGTCTTGAGTTTCTCCCGGGAACGAACACGCCATAATATTCCTCATTATAATAATTAATGTGCAGAATAAAGGGGCGGGGCCTGGTTGAGTTAGTTAGTAGTGTGTTAAACTGGCGGTTATGGAAAGGGGCGGGGCATTTCCCAAACACACTCGAAGCGCTCGACCAATCACAACACACTGCTCCAGCCGACCAATCAGAGCACAGTGTGCTTTTCAGAAGGAGGGGCTTCATAGAGACAGGAAGTAAACAGAGCGTTACTGACAGACTGGGAAGAGAGGAGCCGCAACAATGGAGAATATGAGGAGAATAATCAACATTCAAGCAGGAAAACCTGTTCTAGTAGAGCCTGAAACAAGACCTTTTTTTAAAAGAAGCATTTTTTCTTAGTTTGAAGAACATTTAAAAAAACTAAAGAAAGAATCTATCGATGTTAAAGGCTGTTTGTGGAGCCATCAATGCCAATAAAGAAGCGTTATTTCTAAGAGTGTTTGGACAAACTGGACTGAGTTTATGTAATGGTTTGTTTTATCCCTACAGCACCAGAAGTCCTGAATTATGAGCCAATAAGCACAGCGACTGACATGTGGTGAGTGTTTCCCTGCATCACCATGTTCTCAAGCCGGGATGTTCCACAAGCAAAGTCATCATCGCATAATAAAGACTTCTCTGGTGTGTTACCGCCATGGCTGTGATCTATCCTCCAGTGCAGCTGCTGGATCTCCTCTGGAACAAGCGGAGTATTCACTGTTCAAAGTGTGTCGGTTGTTCGGCTTCAGGATATATTGTGCAAGAACATTTGTAACCTAAAGTCTTTTATCAACAATAATGCTTTGAGAAAAGTCTATTTGTAACCTAAATGTCGTCCCGAGGAAGCATCATCATCATCATCATCATCTCTCTCTCTTTCTCAATTCAATTCAAATGAGCTTTATTGGCATGAATGTGTAAAATAGCACAATATTGCCAAAGCAATAGACATATACACACATATGTAGATAAATAAAAGTGAACAATAAATTTTTTTTTTCATATTTTGCATAAATATATCAAAAAAACAAACAAATTATATACACACTACCGTTCAAAAGTTTGGGGTCAGTGAGAATTTTATTTTTATTTTTTGGAGGAAAGAAATCAATACTTTTATTTATCAAGGAATAATTAATTTGATCGAAAGTGACAGTAAAGACATTTATAATGTTACAAAAGTCTTTTGAACTTCCTATTCATCAAGGAATCCAAAAAAAAAAAAAAAAAAAAAAAAAACTGTACAACTGACAGACCAACAACTGTTTCAACACTGATAATAATCATAAATGTTTCTTGAGCATCAGATCCTCATATTAGAGTGATTTCTGAAGGATCATGTGACACTGAAGACTGGAGTAATGATGCTGAAAATCAGCTTTGATCACAGGAATAAATTACACTTTACTGTATATTCACATAGAAAACAGCTGATTTACACTGGAATAATATTTAATACTATAACTGATTTTTGTTGTATTTTTAATCAAATAAGCGCAGCCATGGTTAGCAGAAGAGAATTCTTTTAAAAGTATTTAAAATCGTACCGACCTCAAACTTTTGAACGGTAGTGTATATATATATATATATATATAATAACAAAAATAAGTAGAGATATTCGCTCTGTCTCTCTCTCTCTCTACAGCAGGAAAAAAAAAGTTCTTGTTTTATTAAAAATGTATTTGGTGAAGCTAAAATGTCAGTTCGGTTGTCACGGAAAGGAGAGTTGCATGATGGTGGATCAGCTGATGCGTCTGCAGTGTTAAAGGGGTTAATACAATCCTATAAATATAGTTTGGCTATTTCTAGTTGGTTTATGATTTGGATGTTCAGATGTAAATGGGGCGTAAACATGTATCTGCGATGTTGGCCCTGATGGCGGTCTCCAAATGTGTGCATGAGTGAAGTTTGACTGTAAATTTTTAAATTGCAAACATTTTTTTTTTTTTTTTTTTTAAACGAGTGTTTGCGTTTCTTGAGACTCCTGTTTTTTAAAATCCATTGCGCTCCTTCTATCTGCTTTTGTTATTTAGCTTTTTACTAAAAATGTTATATCTTTAATATTTTGGTAAATAAATTGATCTTAAAGTCAAGTCTCGCTCTCTCTCTCTTTTCTCTCTCTCTCTGACTCTCTCACTCTCTCTCTCTGACTCTCTCTCTCTCTCTTTTCTCTCTCTCTCTGACTCTCTCTCTCTCTCTCTTTTCTCTCTCTCTCTGACTCTCTCACTCTCTCTCTCTCTCTTTTCTCTCTCTCTCTGACTCTCTCTCTCTCTGACTCTCTCACTCTCTCGCTCGCTCTCTCTCTCACTCTCTCTCTCTCTCTGACTCTCTCTCTCTGACTCTCTCTCTCTGACTCTCTCACTCTCTCTTTTCTCTCTCTCTCTGACTCTCTCTCTCTCTGACTCTCTCACTCTCTCGCTCGCTCTCTCTCTCACTCTCTCTCTCTCTCTGACTCTCTCTCTCTGACTCTCTCTCTCTGACTCTCTCACTCGCTCTCTCACTCGCTCTCTCTCTCTGACTCTCTCACTCTCTCTCTCTCTCTTTTCACTCTCTCTCTGACTCTCTCTCTCTGACTCTCTCGCTCGCTCTCTCACTCGCTCTCTCTCTCACTCTCTCTCTCTCTCTGACTCTCTCTCTCTTTTCTCTCTCTCTCTGACTCTCTCTTTTCTCTCTCTCACTCTCTCGCTCTCTCTCACTCTCTCTCTGACTCTCTCACTCTCTCACTCGCTCGCTCTCTCTCTCTCTCTCTCACTCTCTCGCTCTCTCTCACTCTCTCTCTGACTCTCTCACTCTCTCTCTCTCTCTCTCTCGCTCTCTCTCACTCTCTCACTCGCTCTCTCTCTCTCTCGCTCTCTCTCACTCTCTCTCTCTCTCTCTCTCTCTCTCTCTCTCTCTCTCTCTCTCTCTCTCTCTCTCGCTCTCTCTCTCTCTCTCAGGAGCATCGGTGTCCTCGTGTACGTGATGCTGACGGGCATCTCTCCGTTCCTGGGCGACGATAAGCAGGAGACGTTCCTCAACATCTCTCAGATTAACGTCAGCTACACCGAGGAAGAGTTCGAGACGCTGGACGAGTCCGCCATCCTCTTCATCAAGTCCCTGCTCATCAAAGAACCTGAGTGAGACACACTTATAATGGCACAAAACACTTCATCTCAAATACATATCTAGTTCAGTCATGAACCTCTGATCGGTCCTTCACAATCACATCAGCTCATGGCTCAAGCTGATTGGCTCTGCTGATCCTGCAGCCAATGAGATCGCTCGCTCAGCATTTCCTGTAATCTAGTCTTGCAGTGCTATCAGAGTTCCTCTGAAACTCAATTGCTTAAGAGAAGTCTTATTATTCCAAACAATGTTTCATGATCAGCATTTATCAATTCATATATGAAGCAAACATTCAAATTCTTTACTATGATACAAGTAGTGAATTATTAAGCAAGGGTGTAACAATATAACGTGTCTACATATATCGCAAAACAAAAATACAAGTATCGTGGATAGTGAAAATAATATATATTGTGTATAGTTCAGCCAAAATAAAATTGACTGTGTGAGGAAAATATATATATATATATAATTTTGATATTTTCATACCTTTTCTGCAATTTAATCAAACAGGTTGAAATGTTTAATATTGTTTCCCCTCCAAAATGATTTCACGTTTTTTTTTTTTTTTACATTGATCACAAATTAAAACATTAAAAATAATGCTGCTTCGATAAAAGGAAGAAAACAATCTTAATAAACTGCCAGTTGTTTATTTAAGATAGTTGTTTTAACAGTAAACATGCAGTAAATGTGAAACTTCAATGCATGATGTGAACATTGTTTCTAGTAAAAACCGTTGGGTTACACATATTGGGTCACTATGTTGGGTTATTTTGAACTAAAACTGAACTGCGGACGTTCCTGATGTCGATGTTGTGTGTACAGGAGCCGAGCGACCGCAGAAGACTGTCTCAAACACCAGTGGCTTCAGCTGAAGGAGCAGGACCTGAAGGAGAGCACCTGTGAGCCGGTCAGCCCTGATGAAGAGGAGGAGGAGGAGCTGTTCGTCATGGCCTCCTACACCCCCGACCCCAAGGCCATCTCCAAACGCTTCAAGTTCCAGGAGCCCTTCTCCACGCTTCCCGGAGGATTCATCTACTGACACACACACACACACACACTCGGTCTCCTCACTGTAAAAACTGTTCAGTTCACTCACTTAAAAGATTGAGGAAACCCGTTGCCTCACAATTAAGTAATGAACAGAAAACATAAGCAGTGGAATTGTCAAGTTCAAGTTTATTTACTTAATAATTGTAAGGCAACGGGTTTACAAACAAATAAGTGAAGTCCACTGATCCCTTTTTACAGCCGTTCCCTCGCCTCGTGATCTGAACCTGTAAGCCAAACGTGTGTTGCGTTCGCTCCTGTTCTCTGTGTTTGTGCTGCTCTATATTTACATGCGTACGCTCCTGAAGACCAAGCCTTGCTGCGATTCTCTCTTTCAATCTCCTTCTGGTGCCATGCTTCAATATTTTGATGATAAGGGTCATAAACGTTTCTTGGGATGTTGTCTTCTGTTTGCCTTTGCCATGTTTGTACAAAATTAATGTTGTTTGTTTTTTTCTGCAATCCAGAGGCAAGCAGAATTAAATGTAAATTAATCTAATTTTATATTAAGAGTATTTCAGTGTCATGTTTAAAAAGCCATTTTGTATGTTCAGGTCATTCCTGGGTAAAGATTTCCACAGCAATAACACTTACATTTACACATATATATGAAGAAAATGTGTTTATTCTAACTAATGTTAGAGTTATAACTGTAAATTGATTTGTCACTATAAAGAATATTTTAATGGCAACAAATTTCCAAGTGACTGTCTTGATGCTGTAAATAAAACTTTGTCTTGAAGGCCAGCCACTCTCCCTCATTATTATGATGATTATTAATACTTATGAATCTAAATAAATGTCATGCGGTTCACCTGAACACAAGGTGTAACATTGGAGTTATAATCCTGCTGCTGATCCATCAGATTTTGAATCTGGATAAAAAGGCCCTGGAAAGGTTTTGAAAATAAACACACATAGATACAGGTCCTCGAAACTGCTTAAATTTATGTTGTGCAATAAGTTTTCTGGAAAAAAAAATCAATATTATACCCTTCAGTCCGCTAATGTGTTATTTCGCCAACACTGCGTGGCCTATGCACACTAGCTTGCTTGATTTACGTTAGTTACGCGCATTTACACGTTACGTAAAGTGTTTCCCTCGTGAAGTACTTTGTGTTGCCATGACGTTCAAATGTGCACGAAACTTCTACGATGATACCTCAGCGTTTCACAGACACACCGTGAAACATTGCAAAAATAGTCTGAAACGATGTAACCTTGCTCTCTCTTGAAAGACATTAAGTCCTTGAATTTGAAGTTAACCGAGGTGTGGGAACCCTGAAAAAAAATCACAGCCTGGTTTGACTTTGAACAACCAAGTAGAAGTTCACAAACAAGTAAACAAAAGAGACCCTTTCACATTTCCGGGTTTCTCAGAAGGGGAAGTCGTCATAGTTGGGTAAACTTCTATAGCGGTGAATAAGAGACTACATTAAATATATACCGTATATATATATATATGTGTGTGTGTGTGTGTGTGTGTGTGTGTGTGTGTGTGTGTGTGTGTGTGTGTGTGTGTGTTTTTGTGTTCCCATTTGCTCAGATAGCAAAAGAAAACCCCAGCAACAGTGTTTTCACAACTTTCAAAAAGAGTTTAAAAAAATACAATTGAGAGAGATTGATAACCGCTGTCAGAATAAAGAAATATGTCAATTTTACCATTACTCCCACCATAGCCGCTGTATTAGAAACACCCTCACAGCAGCGTTTAGTGATATAAATGTACATACAGTTTTTAAAAAATGAAAATACAACAAACTTTGCATGATTCCCGATGTTGATAACCGTTAAAGCGCCTCACCACAGTCTATGAAAAGCTCTATGGAAATGGCCTTTGTTTTGGCGCCCTCTGCTGCGTGACGTCATGTAATTGTTTTGAGGTTTTTTAAAACACATTTATTTGGTTTTGCTTTTTTTATTATTTTTTATTATTATTAATATTAACATACATATATCGGTTGGTAAATTGGTGTAACAAATTGTACAGCTAAAAATGTAAACTAATAAAATCTGTATTAAATCTACAGAATTAGCGGGTATGTATCAGTAGCCTATGATCAGTAGTATTCTGCCATTTAAAGCGCCAGTGATCCCGGGTGTTTGCGGGTCCGCGGTGATGATTTGATCGATTAGCGGGCATTAATGTGTCGTGTAGGCCTCGCCCGTGAGGTCCTCTGCCCGTGAACGCGGAACCGGACCTCAGAGCACCGGGAGAGAGACGGGAGATGCGCTGACGCGACGGATTGACGGATTCCCGTGACGCGTGTGTTACCGATGGAGGACTGGGCCCAGTGTTTGGACGAGGCCGTGCGGGTCGCGCGCAGAGCCGGGCAGGTACAATTATGTTCATTCCTAACAATCATATCCAGCTAAAAGTTATAATGCTGAAACGTTAAAGGGCGTTGCTGTACAGATAATAAACACTGCGCTGTTTTTACCCGGTATTTCCTTGTTGTTGTATCAGCATGTTGACACCCTGTGTTAATAAGTCCAACACAAATCCTACATTATAACAGAGCTTATGTATGAATCAGTATTGATACCTGTTCTGTAATAGTCGAAGCACTATAAAATAGAATAAACTATTTGATCTGTTCGACTGATGACACTTTCATAAACCTGTTATAGAAATAACCCTGATAAAGCTTGTTATCTGATCCAGGGTGGACTAATGTAACATGTGTAGAAGCGTTAGGACAATACTTATTATTATTATTATTATCATCATCATCATTATTATTTTTATTGTTGTTGTTGTTTTTGTCAATACATATAAATCATAAATAATTATAGTTATAATAGTCTGTTGTTGTTATTATTAAATATAAATAATGAAAACAAAAGGTATTTAAGGATAAGGATATTATCATTTGTATTATTATTATCAATAATTATACATTTATATAAGTAATTATAGTAATAATAGTCTATTATTAATTGTATTATTAAATATAAATTAATTTAAATAATAACAAAAGTAGTACATGATTATTATTATTATAATTACTATTATTATACATTTATAAATTATAGTAATAATAGTCTTATTATTATTATTATTATCAATACATGTAAAATAATATAGATGATAATGATAACAATAGTAGATTATTATTATCAAGATTATGTTAGCACTATATTATAATTTATTATATTAATACAACTTTATTATTCTCTAAACAACAAACATACTATTTATTTATCTAATACGATTCATGAGTCATTATTATTTTTAATTAGCTCTTATTTTCATTTAAGCTTTTTTCATTTTTGTAGGCTATGTGCTTTTGTCATTTTTATTAGTTGATTTTAATATATAGGCTAGCTTCTTTTTCTGGAGATTTAATACATTTCCATTTTAGCTTTAATCATTTTAGTACGTCAAATTTATTTCAGTAAGTTCCCAAGGCGAGATTAAAAATTTTCATCAAATATTTAGTTTCAGCATTATTTGGCTGACTGAGAATGGTGGTGTGTGTGGTGCTGCTGTGAGATGTGTGTGTGTGTGTGTGTGTGTGTGTGTGTGTGTGTGTGTGTGTGTGTGTGTGTGTGTGTGTGTGTGTGTGTGTGTGTGTGTGTGTGTGTGTGTGTGTCTCCTCCGTCAGGTGTGTGTGTGTGTGTGTGTCTCCTCCGTCAGGTGGTGGTGTGTGTGGTGCTGCTGTGAGATGTGTGTGTGTCTCCTCCGTCATGTGTGGTGTGTGTGTGTGTGTGTCTCCTCCGTCAGGTGGTGGTGTGTGTGGTGCTGCTGTGAGATGTGTGTGTGTGTGTCTCCTCCGTCAGGTGTGTGTGTGTGTGTGTGTGTGTGTCTCCTCCGTCAGGTGGTGGGGTGTGTGGTGCTGCTGTGAGATGTGTGTGTGTGTCTCCTCCGTCAGGTGTGTGTGTGTGTGTGTGTGTGTGTCTCCTCCGTCAGGTGGTGGGGTGTGTGGTGCTGCTGTGAGATGTGTGTGTGTGTCTCCTCCGTCAGGTGGTGGGGTGTGTGGTGCTGCTGTGAGATGTGTGTGTGTGTGTCTCCTCCGTCAGGTGTGTGTGTGTGTGTGTGTGTGTGTCTCCTCCGTCAGGTGGTGGGGTGTGTGGTGCTGCTGTGAGATGTGTGTGTGTGTCTCCTCCGTCAGGTGGTGGCGTGTGCAGTGCTGTCAGTCAGGTGTGTGTGTGTCTCCTCCGTCAGGTGGTGGCGTGTGCAGTGCTGTCAGTCAGGTGTGTGTGTGTCTCCTCCGTCAGGTGGTGTCGTGTGCAGTGCTGTCAGTCAGGTGTGTGTGTGTCTCCTCCGTCAGGTGGTGGTGTGTGCAGTGCTGTCAGTCAGGTGTGTCTGTGTGTGTGTTTCCTCTGTCAGGTGTGTGTGTCTCTTCCGTCAGGTGGTGGTGTGTGTCTCCTCCGTCAGGTGTGTGTGTGTGTGTGTGTCTCCTCTGTCAGGTGGTGGTGTGTGTTTCCTCCGTCAGGTGGTGGTGTGTGTCTCCTCCGTCAGGTGTGTGTGTGTATGCAGTGCTGTCAGTCAGGTGTGTGTGTGTGTGTGTGTTTCCTCTGTCAGGTGTGTGTGTCTCTTCCGTCAGGTGGTGGTGTGTGTCTCCTCCGTCAGGTATGTGTGTGTGTGTGTGTGTGTCTCCTCTGTCAGGTGGTGGTGTGTGTTTCCTCCGTCAGGTGGTGGTGTGTGTCTCCTCCGTCAGGTGTGTGTGTGTGTGTGTCTCCTCTGTCAGGTGGTGGTGTGCTTCCTCCATCTGGTGGTGGTGTGTGTGTGTGTCTCCTCTGTCAGGTGGTGGTGTGTGTTTCCTCCATCAGGTGGTGGTGTGTGTCTCCTCCGTCAGGTGTGTGTGTGTGTGTGTGTCTTCTCCATCAGGTGGTGGTGTGTGTCTCCTCCGTCAGGTGTGGGTGTGTGTCTCCTCCATCAGGTGGTGGTGTGTGTCTCTTCCGTCAGGTGGTGGTGTGTGTCTCCTCCGTCAGGTGTGTGTGTGTGTCTCCTCCGTCAGGTGGTGGTGTGTGTCTCTTCCGTCAGGTGGTGGTGTGTGTCTCCTCCGTCAAGTGTGTGTGTGTGTGTGTGTCTCCTCTGTCAGGTGGTGGTGTGTGTTTCCTCCGTCAGGTGGTGGTGTGTGTCTCCTCCGTCAGGTGTGTGTGTGTGTGTGTGTCTCCTCTGTCAGGTGGTGGTGTGCTTCCTCCATCTGGTGGTGGTGTGTGTGTGTGTGTGTCTCCTCTGTCAGGTGGTGGTGTGTGTTTCCTCCATCAGGTGGTGGTGTGTGTCTCCTCCGTCAGGTGTGTGTGTGTGTGTGTGTCTTCTCCATCAGGTGGTGGTGTGTGTCTCCTCCGTCAGGTGTGGGTGTGTGTCTCCTCCATCAGGTGGTGGTGTGTGTCTCTTCCGTCAGGTGGTGGTGTGTGTCTCCTCCGTCAGGTGTGTGTGTGTGTCTCCTCCGTCAGGTGGTGGTGTGTGTCTCTTCCGTCAGGTGGTGGTGTGTGTCTCCTCCGTCAAGTGTGTGTGTGTGTGTGTGTCTCCTCTGTCAGGTGGTGGAGTGTGTCTCTTCCGTCAGGTGTGTGTGTGTGTCTCCTCTGTCAGGTGGTGGAGTGTGTCTCTTCCGTCAGGTGTGTGTGTGTCTCCTCCATCAGGTGGTAGTGTGTGTGTTCTCCGTCAGGTGGTGGTGTGTGCGGTGCTGCTGTGAGATGCGTGTGTGTGTGTGTCTCCTCCGTCAGGTGGTGGTGTGTGCAGTGCAGCTATGAGATGTTGGTGTGTGTCTCCTCTGTCAGGTGGTGGTGTGTGTCTCCTCCGTCAGGTGTGTGTGTGTGTCTCCTCCATCAGGTGGTGGTGTGTGTCTCTTCCGTCAGGTGTGTGTGTGTGTGTGTCTCCTCCATCAGGTGGTAGTGTGTGTGTCCTCCGTCAGGTGGTGGTGTGTGCGGTGCTGCTGTGAGATGCGTGTGTGTGTGTGTCTCCTCCGTCAGGTGGTGGTGTGTGCATTACAGCTATGAGATGTTGGTGTGTGTCTCCTCTGTCAGCTGTTTGGGTGTGTCCTCCGTCAGGTGGTGGCGTGTGCAGTGCAGCAGGAGAAGTGTGTGCGCAGTAAAAGCACTCCCACAGATCTGGTGACGGAGGCGGATCAGCAGGTGGAGGAGCTCATCATCTCCACCCTCAGGAGCAGATTCCCGGAGCACAGGTGCACATCTGGAGACTCAATACACACACACACCAGCGAATAGGACATGGACCATGGTATGGGGGGCCTGGGCCGTGGAGTGTGGGCGTAGCTGGCAGTGCAGGGGACCAGGGCGGAGCCAGCCACAGAGGCGTGGCCTCAGTGGCCCTAACAAAGGACTCCTCTGGTCAGGGGCTGAACTCCTCTCTGGACGCTGGTCTGGGGCTGGAGTCCTCTCTGGACGCTGGTCAGGGGCTGGACTCCTCTCTGGACGCTGGTCAGGGGCTGGACTCCTCTCTGGACTCTGGTCAAAGGCTGGACTCCTCTCTGGACTCTGGTCAGGGACTGGACTCCTCTCTGGACGCTGGTCTGGGGCTGGAGTCCTCTCTGGATGCTGGTCAGGGGCTGGACTCCTCTCTGGACGCTGGTCTGGGACTGGAGTCCTCTCTGGACGCTGGTCAGGGGCTGGAGTCCTCTCTGGACTCTGGTCAGGGGCTGGACTCCTCTCTGGACTCTTGTCAGGGGCTGGAGTCCTCTCTGGACGCTGGTCAGGGGCTGGAGTCCTCTCTGGATGCTGGTCTGGGGCTGGACTCCTCTCTGGACTCTGGTCAGGGGCTGGACTCCTCTCTGGACGCTGGTCAGGGACTGGAGTCCTCTCTGGACTCTGGTCAGGGGCTGGACTCCTCTCTGGACTCTGGTCAGGGGCTGGACTCCTCTCTGGACGCTGGTCAGGGACTGGAGTCCTCTCTGGACGCTGGTCAGGGGCTGGAGTCCTCTCTGGACTCTGGTCAGGGGCTGGACTCCTCTCTGGACTCTGGTCAGGGGCTGGACTCCTCTCTGGACTCTGGTCAGGGGCTGGACTCCTCTCTGGACTCTGGTCAGGGGCTGGAGTCCTCTCTGGACTCTGGTCTGTGGCTGGAGTCCTCTCTGGACTCTGGTCAGGGGCTGGAGTCCTCTCTGGATGCTGGTCTGGGGCTGGACTCCTCTCTGGACTCTGGTCAGGGGCTGGACTCCTCTCTGGACTCTGGTCAGGGGCTGGACTCCTCTCTGGACTCTGGTCAGGGGCTGGAGTCCTCTCTGGACTCTGGTCTGTGGCTGGAGTCCTCTCTGGACTCTGGTCAGGGGCTGGAGTCCTCTCTGGACTCTGGTCAGGGGCTGGACTCCTCTCTGGACTCTGGTCAGGGGCTGGAGTCCTCTCTGGACTCTGGTCTGTGGCTGGAGTCTTCTCTGGACTCTGGTCAGGGGCTGGAGTCCTCTCTGGATGCTGGTCTGGGGCTGGAGTCCTCTCTGGACTCTGGTCTGGGGCTGGAGTCCTCTCTGGACTCTGGTCAGGGGCTGGACTCCTCTCTGGACTCTGGTCAGGGGCTGGAGTCCTCTCTGGACTCTGGTCTGTGGCTGGAGTCCTCTCTGGACTCTGGTCAGGGGCTGGAGTCCTCTCTGGACTCTGGTCTGTGGCTGGAGTCCTCTCTGGACTCTGGTCAGGGGCTGGACTCCTCTCTGGACTCTGGTCAGGGGCTGGAGTCCTCTCTGGACTCTGGTCTGTGGCTGGAGTCCTCTCTGGACTCTGGTCAGGGGCTGGAGTCCTCTCTGGACTCTGGTCTGTGGCTGGAGTCCTCTCTGGACGCTGGTCAGGGGCTGGACTCCTCTCTGGACTCTGGTCAGGGGCTGGAGTCCTCTCTGGACTCTGGTCTGTGGCTGGAGTCCTCTCTGGACTCTGGTCAGGGGCTGGAGTCCTCTCTGGACTCTGGTCTGTGGCTGGAGTCCTCTCTGGATGCTGGTCTGGGGCTGGACTCCTCTCTGGATGCTGGTCTGGGGCTGGAGTCCTCTCTGGACTCTGGTCTGGGGCTGGAGTCCTCTCTGGACTCTGGTCTGTGGCTGGAGTCCTCTCTGGACTCTGGTCAGGGGCTGGAGTCCTCTCTGGACTCTGGTCTGTGGCTGGAGTCCTCTCTGGATGCTGGTCTGGGGCTGGAGTCCTCTCTGGACTCTGGTCAGGGGCTGGAGTCCTCTCTGGATGCTGGTCTGGGGCTGGACTCCTCTCTGGATGCTGGTCTGGGGCTGGAGTCCTCTCTGGACTCTGGTCTGGGGCTGGAGTCCTCTCTGGACTCTGGTCAGGGGCTCAGCAGACATGACTTGAAGAGTTTCAGGCTCGGCAGGCACGACGTGAAGAGACTCAGGCTTCTTAGAGGCTACTCTGGGATTGCAGGGCTCCTCGTCTGCAAAGCCCAGAGTAAATGACGAGCTGCTCAACAAAAGGGCATAGTCAATATATTGTGCCAGGGATCAGTGGATTTTTCCCCCAGGTAGCCGTGAACGAATGAGTTCCTTCAAACCCACACGAAAAATGTCCTTCCGGGCGATGTCATTAAAATCCACTTGGTCACAAATTGCACAGAACTCCTCAACATAGTTCTCAATGGCCTGGTCGCCTTGACGGAGGCGCATGAGACGACTGCTGGGCAAAATTACTAAAACCTAATCTAATATTAAAGTAAAAACTGAAAATATACAAAATAAAAGCTAATTCAGCATATAAATTGATACTATAATACTAAAAAAGATACTAAATAATTCTAAAATAAGACTGAAGTACCATGTAAATATCAGGTTATATGAACATGATAATGAAGTGTTTTGCAAATAAAAATGGTTTTCCTGTAGAAGATTTCTATAAAAGGGCACTACAGACTGTTTAATGTGTGACCATTCTTTAGTAATAACTGTTGGTGTAATGTTGATGTTTTGTGTCACATGTTACTGAAAGGTTTATCGGAGAGGAATCGTCTGCCGCCGGAGTGAAGTGTGAACTGACCGACAGCCCGACCTGGATAATAGATCCCATCGACGGGACCTGTAACTTCGTGCACAGGTACCATAAGCGTCTTCATATATTGTGTTTAAATCATCATAGAAATATAATCCCAACACACAATCCTTGGCTTGCAGTTTTCCAATGGTGGCAGTGAGCATCGGATTCGCTGTGAGGAAAGAGGTAAAGCACGGATGAATCCCAATGTCTGGTTCTCTCTCTGATGATGTACATGTACAGTATAAAGTGTGTGTGAATAATAAATGTGTGTGTGTCAGCTGGAGTTTGGTGTGATCTACCACTGTTTCGACGGGACACTGTACACCGCCAGAAAAGGACACGGAGCCTTTCGCAATGGTGTTCGACTACAGGTTTCCAAAGAAAAAGGTCAGCAAATGATTTAACTTATTTTTTTGCAATAAATGATAATCATCCTGTCGCTTTATAATGGCAAAGTAAAACTGATTTGAATTATAAAACACATAGTTGCGGTCCTGAATGCTGATTAGACCATTCTTAAACTATACATGTTTCCTTGACAAATTAAGAAAACTAAAAATAAATATAATAATAATACATTAATTAAATACAAATAAATTAAAGCTAAACTCACATTTAAAAAAAAAATTACAAAAGCACATAAAATTAGACCATTGTTAAACTACTGTATAAAGGTTTGGGGTCAGAAAGTTTTTGAAAGAGTCTCTTCTGCATTTATCTGATCAAAAATACAGTAAAAAGTAATTGTTATGGTGTGGCAGAGGGACGAGGATCTCATTGCAGCAGTATTTATTGAAAAAACACACAAATAATGTGTGTGAAAAGCGCTATACAAATAAATTTTAATTGAATTGAACAAATAAAGGTAATCCAAATAAGAGATCCAACAGGAGAAACAAAATTCCAAACAGGAGAAGAAGATGATAAACCAAACGGGAAACAACGAACGCCCCACAAAAGCCGATAACAAGAGCTAACAAGGTACAGGTGATAGTAATCAATCACTATGGTAACAAACAACAGTAACTTTAGAAAAAAAAAAAGAGTAAAACGGGAACTAAACACAGGAGAAACCAGAAAACACACTTCAAAATAAAAGTCACATAACACAAAAATACAAGGGAAACCATGACAGTAATATTTTAAAATATTATTCCAATGTTTTCTATGTGAATATACAGTAAAGTGTAATTTATTCCTGTGATCAAAGCTGAATTTTCAGCATCATTACTCCAGTCTTCAGTGTCACATGATCCTTCAGAAATCACTCTAATATGAGGATCTGATGCTCATTTTATGATTATTATCAATGTTCAAAACAGCTTCATATTTTTGTGGAAACTGATACATTTTATTTTTTGATGAATAGAAAGTTCAAAAGAACAGCATTAATTTGAAACAGAAACATTTTATAAAATTATAAATGTCACTTTTAAACGTTGTAATGTGTCCTTGGTTAATAAAAGTGTGTGTATATATATATTTAAACGTACAGACCCCAAACTCTTATTTAAATAATTAATTCAAAAATATAAATGGTCTTTATGGGTTTGATCTCACTTTATTGGCCTGTTTTTGCTACAAGCCTTTGCTAATTAAATTCCACCGTACAGTAACTGTTGCAGACGTGATTACAGTATCTGACGATACGATGTGTTTCGTGTCTCGGTCAGATGTGTCCAAGGCCCTCATTCTGACGGAGATCGGGGCCAAGAGAGACCCTGCAACACTGGATATCTTCCTGGGAAATATGAAGAAAATGTTGAGCGCACCGACTCATGGGTACGGCCACTGGGAGAAACATAAGCAAATATTATTGGAGTGTGTTTTACAACAAAATTACTTGAGTCTTTATACTTCAAAATGAACTTGCCATTTTGAACTTGAACTTGAAATTTACTATAATCCTACACCAGTTTCTTTTTCAGTGCAACATGATTTACAACAATAGGGCCCTATGAAATCCATTTCATTTTTTTCCCCAAATTCTGTTTTATTTTTACAGTAGATATAGCATCCTCCTTCAGGTCAGTCTTATATTTGTAATAAAAAATAAGTTTGAATGTCCGTTTTATTGGGGGGTTTTCCCGAGCCACGGCACGCTAGTGATTTGTCAGATGAGTCTTGCTTCTCTGTGTTCACAAGTTTCAGTCCTTTCAATATAAAGTCTTCTCTACTGACTCACGCACTCATAAAGACAGTCTCTGCCGCCATCTAATGGAGAAATAATGCTCTTCTGTTGCTGTTCACGGCCAGGGACTAGTTTTTCCAGCGGAAGGAAGGCTTTTAGTGATTTTACTTCATGAAAGTTGCAATAATACATATTTTTTGGCTTTAATATTTGTATTGTGTGGTAACTGTTTTCTAAAAGCTGTAAGGTACTCGAGGCTCGTGCTGTGTGGGGAATAAGTCACGACTGACTGGAGCCTAACAACACCCTTCAGACTTATTCACCACACAGCCTCGAGAACCTTAGTGCTGACTTACAGTCTGTTATGTAAATGTGACCTTTGACCCGCAGTGTGAGGATCGTCGGCAGCTCGACTCTCTCCCTGTGTCTCGTGGCCAGTGGCTCGGCGGAGGCGTATTACCAGTTCGGTCTTCACTGCTGGGACATCGCCGCGGCCGCCGTCATCATCAGAGAGGCCGGAGGCGTCGTCATCGACACCACAGGTCATTATAGGACTATTATTACTATTATTACTATTATTAATATTACCACAGGTCAGTCTTGGAACAACACAACTCACTTCTGATGTGGAAAATCTTCCTTTATGTTCTGTATGTATATGTGTGTGAGTGTGAGTGTGAGTGTGTGTGTGTTCATGTCTCAGTGTTTGTGGCTTAGGGAACACGATCGACCTCGTGTGTGTGTGTGTGTGTGTGTGTGTGTGTGTTCATGTCTCAGTGTTTGTGGCTTAGGGAACACGATCGACCTCGTGTGTGTGAGTGTGAGTGTGTGTGTGTTCATGTCTCAGTGTTTGTGGCTTAGGGAACACGATCGACCTCGTGTGTGTGTGTGTGTGTGTGTGTATTTGAGTGTGTGTTGATGTCTCTCTGTGATTGTGTCATAAGGAACACCCTTGACCTTGTGTGTGTGTGTGTATAAGTGAGTGTGTGTTGATGTCTCTCTGTGTTTGTGTCGTAGGGAACGCACTCGACCTCGTGTGTGTGTGTGTGTGTGTGTGTGTGTGTGTGTGTGTGTGTGTCGATGTCTCTGTTTGTGTCGTAGGGAAACACACTCGACCTCGTGTGTGTGTGTGTGTGTGTGTGTGTGTGTGTGTGTGTGTGTGTGTGTCGATGTCTCTGTTTGTGTCGTAGGGAACACACTCGACCTCGTGTGTGTGTGTGTGTGTGTGTCGATGTCTCTGTTTGTGTCGTAGGGAACACACTCGACCTCGTGTGTGTGTGTGTGTGTGTCGATGTCTCTGTTTGTGTCGTAGGGAACACACTCGACCTCGTGTGTGTGTGTGTGTGTGTGTGTGTCGATGTCTCTGTTTGTGTCGTAGGGAACACACTCGACCTCGTGTGTGTGTGTCGATGTCTCTGTTTGTGTCGTAGGGAACACACTCGACCTCGTGTGTGTGTGTGTGTGTGTGTCGATGTCTCTGTTTGTGTCGTAGGGAACACACTCGACCTCGTGTGTGTGTGTGTGTGTGTGTCGATGTCTCTGTTTGTGTCGTAGGGAACACACTCAACCTTGTGTGTGTGTGTGTGTGTGTGTGTGTGTGTGTCGATGTCTCTGTGTGTGTCGTAGGGAACACACTCAACCTTGTGTGTGTGTGTGTTGATGTCTCTCTGTGTGTCGTAGGGAACACACTCGACCTCGTGTGTGTGTGTGTTGATGTCTCTGTTTGTGTCGTAGGGAACACACTCGACCTCGTGTGTGTGTGTGTGTGTGTGTGTCGATGTCTCTGTTTGTGTCGTAGGGAACACACTCGACCTCGTGTGTGTGTGTGTGTGTGTGTGTGTGTGTGTGTGTGTGTCGATGTCTCTGTTTGTGTCGTAGGGAACACACTCGACCTCGTGTGTGTGTGTGTTGATGTCTCTGTTTGTGTCGTAGGGAACACACTCGACCTCGTGTGTGTGTGTGTGTGTGTGTGTCGATGTCTCTGTTTGTGTCGTAGGGAACACACTCGACCTCGTGTGTGTGTGTGTGTGTGTGTGTCGATGTCTCTGTTTGTGTCGTAGGGAACACACTCGACCTCGTGTGTGTGTGTGTTGATGTCTCTGTTTGTGTCGTAGGGAACACACTCGACCTCGTGTGTGTGTGTGTGTGTGTGTGTGTGTGTGTGTGTGTGTGTGTGTGTGTGTGTGTGTGTGTGTGTGTGTGTGTCGATGTCTCTGTGTGTGTCGTAGGGAACACACTCAACCTTGTGTGTGTGTGTGTGTGTCGATGTCTCTGTGTGTGTCGTAGGGAACACACTCGACCTCGTGTGTGTGTGTGTGTGTGTGTGTGTGTGTGTGTGTGTGTGTGTGTGTGTGTGTGTGTGTGTGTGTGTGTGTGTGTGTCGATGTCTCTGTGTGTGTCGTAGGGAACACACTCAACCTTGTGTGTGTGTGTGTGTGTCGATGTCTCTGTGTGTGTCGTAGGGAACACACTCGACCTCGTGTGTGTGTGTGTGTGTGTGTGTGTGTGTGTGTGTGTGTGTGTGTGTGTGTGTGTGTGTGTGTGTGTGTGTGTCGATGTCTCTGTGTGTGTCGTAGGGAACACACTCGACCTCGTGTGTGTGTGTGTGTGTGTGTGTGTGTGTCGATGTCTCTGTGTGTGTCGTAGGGAACACACTCAACCTCGTGTGTGTGTGTGTGTGTGTGTGTGTCGATGTCTCTGTGTGTGTCGTAGGGAACACACTCGACCTCGTGTGTGTGTGTGTGTGTGTGTGTGTGTGTGTGTGTGTGTGTGTGTGTCGATGTCTCTGTGTGTGTCGTAGGGAACACACTCGACTTCATGTGGAAAATCTTCCTTTATGTTCTTATCAAGTGTATAATTCATTAATAATGTAGGATTTTAAACAATAAGGGCTTTTATTCCTGATTGATCGATTCATTATTATTAATATTTCATTAAAAACGCTGAAAACTCGAAGGTGTGAAACTCCATTGCTTAATCGAAATGTAAACATTTACACTGTTTCTCATACACAATGTAATATTTGTATATAAATTGTAGCTAAAAGTAGATGTTTCTACAGTCGCTGTTAATAAAGCTCAGTGCTATGGGAAGTGCTGTGATAAAAGCTGCTCCTGCGATGCAGTTTACGGATTGTTTGTTTAAAGTTTTATTCATTTTATTTGATGTTAGCTTTGATAAATCTACTGTACTTAAAACCATGAATCAGATTAGATCAGTTCAACATAGCCCTGCTAACTACATTCAGAAAGTTCACTAACTTTAATAGAGTTTTTTATTTATTTATACATATTTCATGGAACTTTTTTTTTTTTCGGAAACATTTTAGTTGGACGTTTGTGTAACATTTTTAAATGTTAGTTTCGGAATGAAACATTCAAAAGTAACAATCCCATAATGATGGCAAAATAAATAAATAGAATTGAATGTTTTGTGATGTTCATAAACTAGAAGAACTGTTAGAGCACTCTGAGGACATTCAGAAACAGCGTTTTCATAATGTAGTGTGAAGTGTTTTATCTGCACATGCCTGTGTGTGTGTGTGTGTGTGTGTGTGTGTGTGTGTGTGTGTGTGTGTGTGTGCGTGTGTGTGTGTGTGTCGTAGGGAACACACTCGACCTGATGTTTGTGTGTGTGTGTGTGTGTGTGCGTGTGTGTGTGTGTGTCGTAGGGAACACACTCGACCTGATGTCCAGAAGAGTAGTGGCCGCTGGGACTCGTGAGATCGCAGACTATGTGGTGAAGCAGCTTCAGCCTATAAACTACGGGCGTGACGACAGTGACCCCTGACCTCTGACCCCTGACCCCATCCTATTACCTCAGAACACACAATCCTGCCACGTCACATCTGCAGTGTCCTTTCAGCGCTATACTCACATGTTTAACCATCCTAAAGTCACGAAGATGACCCGTAATCACCCCAGCCACGACCTTTGACCTCTAACACCTTCATCCGTGGAGATCACGCTAAACACCGGATCATGACTCGCCAAACCTGCTGATTCACCCAATATAACGAGTGTGATCTCACAGTGGAAGATCTGCAGCTGGTTATGAACGCTTATTATCAGAGAGTCTTTTACAGTCGTGAAATCAGATCATGACTCGGGAATCATGGACGGCGATGGAAGAAACATGGTTTATATATGCAAACACTGCTAAACTCCTTCTGTTTTTATCTTGATCTACGAAATAAAATATTAGCCCTTGTTTTCAGAGAATAAACGTAAACATTGATCTTGTTTTAAGCGTGTTTAGATGAACAACATGACGAGACTGCAGTGGGAACATCTGGAGATCCGGTTCTACACGCTCATACGCAGTCATGTGACGTCATGGTCATGTGACGTCATGGTCATGTGACGTTATGGTCATGTGACGGCTGAAACACAAAACAAATCCTCTGTATGTTCCTGAAACTCACTGCCGTTCAACCTGTATTTTGCAGTTCTGATGTTTTCTAATGATCTATATAGAAATAAACGCATAGAGATTTGGGTTTTAGAGTTTATAGTGTGGATCACTTTTACATCAGGGCAACATTCCTCTAGTATGACCAATTAAAAGCATACAATGAAATCAATGCTGTCCAGTTATTATTCACTCCAAATGAACCATATTCACTTTCTTATCATTTTTGTGCATATTGTACTTCTTAATTCGGGGGCAAAAGCACAGCACTTAAAGCAATGCTTCACATTTGCTTGGAATAGAATAGACATTTCTGATTTGATTATTAAGTTGGATGTAAACGCCGGTTCCAGCTGTTCATATGCAGGAGCTCTTGGACATGAAATATAAAGCTGAAATTTGGCCAATTCAATTGAATTTTATTCCCACATTGAGCCAAGCCACAGTCTGTTCAGATCCGGAGAGATCTCCATTCTTATGGAAAGGCTTGGAGCTGCCAGCTTTAATATAGAGTTTAGCCGAGCAGAGTTTCCTTCTGACCCGATCACAGTCCAGCAGAACATCAACATGAATATGAACTTTAATATTAACAATTTGGGGATTTTCATTAGTTATCAGTTATAATCATCAAAATGAAAAGGAATGAACACTTGAAATATATCAGTCTGTGTGGAATGAATGTATACATTATACAAGTTTCACTTTTTGAACGGAATTACTGAAATAAATCAACTTTTTGATGATATTCTAATTATATGACCAGCACCTGTATATATATACAGGTGAAACTTGAAAAATTAGAATATCGTGCAAAACTTCATTTATTTCAGTAATTCAACTTAAAAGGTGAAACTAATATAGACTCATTACATGCAAAGTGACATATTTCAAGCCCTTATTTGTTATAATTTTGATGATTATGGCTTACAGCTTATGAAAACCCCACATTAGAATATTGTGAAAAGGTTTAATTATATAAAATTATAACAAATAAAGGCTTGAAATATCTCACTTTGCATGTAATGAGTCTATATAATATATTAGTTTCACCTTTTAAGTTGAATTACTGAAATAAATGAACTTTTGCACGATATTCTAATTTTTCAAGTTTCACCTGTGTATATATATATATATATACACACTGCCTTGCAAAATTTGGGATCTGTAAGATTTTTAATGTTTTTAAACGAAGTCTCTTCTGCTCACCAAGGCTGCATTTATTTGATTAAAAATAAACTTCAATATTGTGAAATATTTCTACAATGTAAATCAGCTGTTTTCTATGTGATATATATAGTAAAGTGTAATTTATATCCTGTGATCAAAGCTGAATTTGGAGAACAAAGGTACTAATGTATGGGCTACATGAGTAGAAATGGTAGTGTGAAATGGTCTTTCACAATAAAATAATATTTAACAGTTTATTTTTATTTAATAGTTAATAGTTTACATCATAGACGTTTCTGCTTTAACGCCTATTTAATAAATATAGACATCGAGTGAAAGCGCTATTGTGGAGTTGTGTGGCGAGAGCGCGAGTGCGGCGCGTGGCCAGCAGGGGGCGCTGCACACGCTCTTATACTTACTACAAATATTACCTAAACTCGACAAATGCATCATGTAATGACATATTTTAAGATACAATATATTTACAAAATATAAATGTACATTTAATAATGAAATAAAAATACATTTTTTAGTTACATTTTTGGGGTTAAACTACATTGCATTTCTTTTTTCAAGCTTTCTTTGTAATAAATACATAAAAAAGTGAGAAATACGCAATGTTTCTTTTTCTTTTTTTTATATATATGTGTGACGTGATTCTACAACCACCCGTTGTTATTCCTGTATAAAGTCGTGCGCGTCCGTTTCTCTCGCGTCTCCGGGACTCACACACACACACACACACACACACACACACCTCTTCATCAGTGCTCGAGTCCTGCTGGAGTTATTCGTCAGTTTTGCAGGGTGGTCCTTCAGGCTGTTCATTGAGGAGGAGAAAAAGTGAGTCCAGATGCCAGTGTGCGCACAGCTGTGCCGCGTAAACGCGCGTCAAACGCTCCAGAACTGAGGAAAACGCGAGCGAACGCCTTTAACAATCGCCGAGGACTGAAATATCACGCCACGCAGTTTTGGAGGAAACCCAGCAAACTTGGAGCGAATAAATATGCAACTTGTTGAGGTTTCGCAGCGCGCGTGAAGCACCATGATCTCTCCTGTCAACAGGTAAGAGCGAAACCAGTTTGGAGAAGAGCGAAACCAGTTTGGAGAAGAGCACAACATGTCTGAGGAGAACTGAGGAGTCCTGAAGCAGACCTTCGGGATTATCTGGACTTTAAACTTCTTCACGCTGATGTTTACCATGCGGACTATAGACTGATCCAGGATCAGGATCATGTCCTGCGGCCGAAGCCGACAGAAAGACTGGACGTGGAGAGATTTGTGAATTCTGATCTCAGTTATTATATTATTGTGCTGATATGATGGCCTCGGAGGTGGTGTGTGGACTCATATTCAGACTCATTCTCCCAGTGTGCCTCGCTGCAGGTAAGACCAACTAAACACTAATCAAGCAACATTTGGGTTAGCTAATAGGTTTATATAACCCATTTAAAATAAAATACAAATACAAAAATCAGAATAACTTTTCAAATATGATAAGTAAATCTTATCATTGAAAGCTTTTTTATTATCTTCAATTAAACTTATTTGTACTCATATACAATGACTATCAATGATTGTTGATAAGCCAAATTGTAAATATGATTATAAACAGTAACTGGTTTACTAGATGGCTTATTGGACGTGTCTTGTCTTGTTTAATATGCATTTCCAATTTGTATGGCATTTTGTATGGTGTTCAATCAATACACTTAAAAAAATAATTAAGTTCTTCCTCATAATTTTTGTCTTGTTTTCCAGCACAAATATCTAAGCGTTCTTAAATTAAAATACATTTACTGGAGAAGCAAAATGACTGAAGATATTAAGTCTTGTTTACTGGGTGGAAAATCACCAAACTGAGTTTATGCATAATGGCAAAATAAACTTACACGATTATTTTTCTGACCCCATTGGCAGATATTTGTTCTTTTTTAAGCATAAATTTGCTTAACTTTGATACAAAATATCAGAAACCCAGACTTAATATTTTGAGTTATTTTGCTTCTCTGGTAAATGTATAAGAATGTTTTTTATTTGTACAATATTTTGTTCTAGAAAAAAGGGAACACTTTACAATAAAGTTGCATTAGTTAACATGAATTAATGATGAACTGCACTTCTACAGCATTTATTAATGTTAATTTCAGCATTTACTATACATTATTAAAATTAAAGGTTGTATTTGTTAACATTAGTTAATGCACTGTGAACTAACTAAATACAGCTGTATTTTTATTAACTAACGGTAACAAAGATGAACAAATACACTAACACTCATGGTTAGTTCATGTTAGTTAATACATTTCATAATGCTAACAAACAAAACCTTATTGTAACGTAGGCTATTACTGGAAAACAAGACAGAAATACTGAGAAAGAACATCATGTTTGGCAGTCATTTTAGTCACTTTTTAAACCAGGCGCTGTTCAAAACACCTTGACTATAAATATACTGATATTAAAGCTTGACAGTTTCACTGATTATGGTCCTCTACTTTCTGGACTGTAATTAATTGAATTAATTAGCATCTCATCATAAGCTTAACTTGCGGTGTGGTCATTAAAACAGAACACAACACATGTTGAGAAGAAGGAGGAGACGTTCATATATCGCTGAATGCTCCTTTCATTGAGGTGGAGTGATAAATGAGCAAAGTAACGAGCTCTCGAGGTTAAGACTGCTTTTAGAATAGCTGTGACAACACAGCACACAAAGAGCCATCGATTATGATCCTGCTATTATTGATTTATTGATTTATAGTGCAAACACAGTTCTCTTACCAAGGAATCCGAATGACAATAGTCAAAATGTGGCCACATTATTAACTGAACTGTAAATGTATGCTACTCTCACATGAGCATTTGTTTTACTCTTGTAACATTTTATTGCTATTTTTGCTGGAATGTTTGATGCAGAGCATTAAAAAGTTAGCTATGAAAAAGCACTGATTTGTTTTAATATGGTAAACGTTATGCTCTGTTTTGGTTCTGTTTGCCTTCCCTGTCATTGTTAGTTGACCTAGTTAGTGTGTGCCAGTTTGTTACTGAGGATGTTCACCTGTTGTTTGTTTATTTATCTCATTACTTGTTTGCTGCGTCCCAATTCGCACACTATCCGTCCTAAATAGTATTTCAAATTAGTATTAGTGCCTCTCAAACCGTATGTTGAAATTATAGTAATTACAAAGAAACCCGGATGTCCTACTTTTCCTGGTTAGAATCCGAAATGCAGATTCATGCACACGAGAGTTGGACGAGGATTCAATTAGAACTACAAACTCGAATAAAAAGTGTTAAAAAACTACAAAATGGCGGATCTGTGAGTCTGCCGGTTAAGTAGAGAGGTTTAGATAAAGGGGTTTGAGTGATTAATATACAGTATCTAACCTGCTGAAAATATATTGATTCAAAGTTATCCACATATTTAATCTGCAACAGCATTGTGAACTTTTATGAAGATATG